ATCAGGTCCGACAGGTACTCTCCCAACTAGACCATCAGGAGAAACTGATACTCCCCAAACTAGACCTTCTGGACCCACAGAAACTCCTCAAACAAGACCTTCAGGACCCACAGGAACTCCCCCAACTAGACCATCAGGACCCACAGGAACTCCTCTAACTAGGCAATCAGGACAGACTGGTACTCTTCTGACTAGGCCATCACGACAGACGGGTTCTCCCCCAACTGGTGCATCAGGACAGACAAGCACTCCTCTAACTAGGCAATCAGGACAGACTGGTACTCTTCCGACTAGGCCATCACGACAGACGGGTTCTCCTGAAACTAGACCATCAGGCTCCACAGGAACGCCTCCGACTAGACCATCAGAACTGACAGGAAATCCTCAAACTAGACCATCAGGGGTGACAGGAACTACGATGCTAATTACAAGAGCTACTGGTGAAACTGTCACCAATGGTTTCTCGGGACTGACTGGAACCCAACAAACTGGGCCATCGGCAATACCAATCACCAACGACTTTGTGGAAGGAATACAAGCTAACAGGGCCTCAGTTCCTGCAGCAAAACAACTTCCTCTACCAGATGGAATTCAGACTTTGAAAATAAATACTGAAGCTAAAGCCTTGAAAGGTATGTCGTTTTTCACGATTTTTTCTGAAAAATCTTAGATGTGCCATAATTTGAAAGCCTTTATTCAATAAAATATATGATCTCATTGCAGGTGGATCAACTCTTTTTGCTTTAAATAATGACGAAATTGGCAGAAGGAATAATGACAAAATTGGTACAAATAATGCAGTAATTGGTACAAATAATGCAGAAATTGGTAAAAATAATGAAGAAATTGTTAAAAATAATGCAGAAATTGGTAAGAAGAATAAAAAAATTGGTAAAAGGCATGCAACTGCTATCAAAGAGAGAGTCAATACACTAGGGAAAGTGGTTCTGAAAACCCCAGGTGATCATGCCGTGTTTGGTTTTCAAAAGATACCAGCAAAGAGAAAGCGTGAGGGAGTGTGCTCCAAGATCCGTAATTTCCTTCAAGGACGGTTCTCTTCTGTTATCAACAAGTTCTGTGCTTAGAACAATTGGGCTGAGGTCTGCACAGCTTTAAACATTTTCATGATGGCAAACTAGAGAATTATTAGAGGCTGATTCTCGAGTATGGATTGGGATGCCCTTTCTGTTCTTCAGTTCAAACTACAGAGATGTTACCCATAAATATCAAACAAATTCCATCAACTTGAAAGGAAAGATGCTGAAGCTTTGTCTGAAGAACAAGGGAGGATTCTATTTCTTTCGAGTTTGGTTGAGTATTTTGTGTTTGCTGTCATGAAAATTATAACTTAACTCTTTTGTCATATTTTTTTGTATTTTTACTTGGATCTTGTATTGTATATTGTTATTAAATGAATATCACCCAATATCAAAGCAGCTTTGAGCAGTGATCGAGGGACAATATCAAAATCTTTGGGTGGAGTGAAAATCTAAGATTATGCACACTGATATCAGCTATCCATACCACTTTTAAGATATGAAATTTTAAGTGCAGTGCTCAAAAAAATGATTAAATCAGCCAATGTATGGCCAATCCTCTATAGATCATTACTGCTCTGGATCAATTTTGCCTTACAGCTTACTGCAATTGGACCCCTCCCATTAATGCCCTTGTAGGGTAAGAAATTTGATTGATGTAACTCTCTATGATTATACCTATGGAAGTTTAAGGTAGTTATAATGGCGATAATTTTTTTTATTCTATGAAACTACTAATGAAGATTTTCTTTTGATTTAAATGACAATCTCATTATTAATCTCAATTCACAGAACAAGTGGTTTTAGACATGATTGTCATGATCAACTCTACAGCCAAATTTTAAGATACACCGTATTAAATCCTAAATCCATCACATCACAATAAATCTGCAGGGGGTCTTACTTTAAGGTGGAAAATCCTAGAATGTATCCCAATCCTAACATGATCCTTATCACATCCTTATTTTGCTTTAATTTTTACATCCTGAGAACACCCAAGCAGGTGTCTTCATTGTTTTATGAGATATACCATCTTTAAGCCACCAAATCGTATTATCACTGAAAGTTCTGTGCCTATAACCATACTGAGTTAAAGATATTTTGAACTAACCACACATACCGTTTATCTATATTCAGTGCACATTATTACATCCTAAAGACACCAAATCGTGTTTTCTCTGGTGGTTGGTTAAGAGAAGCACTAATACTGAGTCCAAGAACTGTTCGGGTGTCAGCTGGATCGATGACTCCATCATCCCATAATCTGCAAGGATAAAAACAATAAGAATATCATCCTTATCTTAATTGTCATCATCATCAGCTTCATCTTCACTCAGCATGGATCATCCCCAGCAAACTGACCATGGTAAAGATTAGCCAAAGACGCCAGCTTTCTGCCATGGTTTCTTTCAGTTATAACAGGTTTTAGAAAAGCTACAAATATAAAACCCACCTTGCACTAGAATAATAAGGATGTCCTTCAATTTCGTATTTTTTGATCACTGGCTCTTTTAAAGCTCTTTCTTCTTCTTCTGTCCACTGAAATAGCAGAAGTCATTTCGTTAAGTTTCATAAAGACTGAGATGAACTAAAGAGGTACCCAAGAAAAACCAAAAAAGCCGGTGGACCATGAGTATCAACACTGTAATAAACCCTGAGCAGATCTCAGCTTTTTTTGCAAGGAACAAACTCAAAGTACCGGTAGACTAGTATCAATATTAGCTCTGTGGACTCTCAAAAAGTGGTGCCTAGTTGACACACCCAGTAGTAGTGTGGAATCCAATTTCATGGCATAGCGGCAACTATTGTGGTACATTCACTGGCTGTCTTACCTGTTTGCCCTCTCTCTGTCGTTGATCCCTGGTAATTTGGGCTAAAACATTAGCTGCCTGCTCCCCTCCCATAACTGATATTCTCGAGTTGGGCCACATGTATAAAAATCTTGGACTGAAAACAAAAAGATAATGTCTTCTATATCAGAACAACAAAACAAAACCGGAAATCCAAACAACATACTGGCAAAACATTGGTAGCAGCTTATGGACCTTTCACATGAGGAAGAATATTAATCATAAGAGAGGAAGTATTTCATTATGAAAAGTGGTATCAGGTGTCTAGAAGAGTAAGCATACTCTGCCACACCCGTCATAGCTTACCTGTAAGCTCTGCCACACATACCATAATTACCAGCTCCATACGAACCCCCTATTATCACAGTAAACTTTGGAACTTTAGCACACGACACAGCTGTCACCATTTTAGCTCCATTTTTAGCAATTCCCCCAGCTTCTGCTTCTCTGCCTACCATAAAACCTGAGGAGAGAGAATATAATCATAAACAAAGCCTCGAAAGATGGTATGATGATGATGATTGTGAATGATTGAATGGTTGAATGATATTGTTTGTTTGAAGAGGATGGTGATGATACTAATGATTAAGGATGATGATGATGATGATGATGATGATGATGAATATAATTCTTTTTAGAATATTTAATCTAACTTACCTGTGATGTTTTGTAAGAAAATTAAAGGAATATTTCTCTGTGAACATAATTCTATAAAATGTGCACCCTACAAAATAAAAACAAAACAGATCAATCGAAATTGACTAATTTTATTTTTCAGACCCTAAAATGAATGATGGCTAACGAAAAGGGGTATCGGCCATGCAGTATTCAATGATGCAAATTTTGTAAAGACTATTATATTTTGTTACCTTTAATGCTGATTCTGAAAAAAGGACACCATTGTTACCAATAATACCAACAGGGTAACCCCATAGTCTGGCAAATCCTGAAATAAAGTTCCATAATCATGAAACATTGACAGGGGGCAATATGTTAAAGGGCAAAAGTTCTTCATTTCTGAACTTGGCTCCTCTACAGCTTACTTCATAGCCCTCAAATCAAAAATACCTCAATTTACATCATTCCAATTATCAGTCGACGTCTTCCAATTCCATTAAAAGAAATATTCACCAACCTGTAACTAAAGTCTCCCCGTACATAGCTTTAAATTCATCAAATTCACTTCCATCTACGATTCTTGCTATTACCTGAAATACAACAATAGTGGTATGAACAGTCCAGTAGACCAAGTGACAGGCCGTAGTTCAGTTGGTTAGAGCATTGGAATCTTTACATGACAACATTTGTTTGGTTACGTCAAACCAAAAATGGTTGTTATCAGTTCTAATCATGGTTGGAGAATGAAGTTTGGTAACCTTGATTAAGTTCTTTGATTTTTTCCTGCTTATTTCAGATTTACTTCAGGGTAAAAGGGTGTGCATTATAATCGCAATTATACAGTATTTGACTGTCAAGTGAAACCAATGAAATTGGATCTCCCATAATGTTAAATGATCTGAGCACCTACCTCTCTTACATCAAATGTTTTCTTTAAATTGGCCCCAACGATTCCATAGAGTTCATGTGAGGGGAACAAGGGTTCCTGTGGGCTTTTTATGGTAACCTGAAAAACCAAGAATCCTTAAAATACTTTGTAGCATAACAGAAAATGTAACAGCCAGACTTTAATATAGTAAATTTAGCATGATGAAAAAAATGCAATGGAGTAATATGAAATTTTAATTGCTTTTAACTTACCCCTGGATTTTTGGTGTAATTAATATTTTTAACAGCACGTCTAGCGAGATAAAGAGCTTGCTCGTCATCCTCTGCGTAATAATCAGTCACCCCTGATTTACTACAATGTAATTTAGCACCTCCCAGATCTTCTGCTGATATCTCCTCCCCTGTTGCTGCCTTAACCTAAAATAGATGGAGAGAACTTAAAAACCACATAGTAAATCTGCAAGATCTGCCATTTTTAAATTTCTTACTTTGCAAAGGGGAATAACTTATAATATGTAAACTGAATTATTGCAAAATTTGAATTTGATTTTGATGCTGGGACAAAAGGTGCATTCAGTGTCAGAACACACCATTTGTGCGCATCACAAAATCCCAGAGTTGAAGATGGTAGGAATTTGATTGGTTGAAAGTGTCATCAAACAGATGAATGTTCAAGAAGGCCGTCTTTAGACCCTAGCTTTATTAAAAATCTAAGCTAATACAAACAGAATGAAAGTTTGCAAAATGTGAACAAGTTATAAAACTTACTAATGGTGGTCCAGCCAGATATATAGTGCCCTTATTTACAATAATACTTTCATCTGCCATAGCTGGTACATAGGCTCCTCCTGCTGTACACATTCCTAATACTACAGCTATCTAGAAATATAGTAGAATCCTACATTACTTGCTTTGATTGGTTAAAAATGACATTATTAGAACAGGACTGTGATAGAAAACTTGTTAGATTAAAATATCAGAAAAAAAGGAATGTAAATTACAACTTACCTGTGGAATTCCCTGAGCTGACATATTAGCTTGGTTATAAAAAATTCGACCAAAGTGATCTCTATCTGGAAAAACTCCATCTTGTCTGGGTAAGTTGGCTCCTCCAGAATCAACTACAAACAGAACAAAAATAGTTAATGCATCTGTGATAATAGTCCCATGGGACTAGGGGTACAAAGACTGATGAATTGGGGTTGAGATTCCAAATACGGAACAGACATAGGCACAAGGATCTGAGGGGGTTCTCCCCCCATAAATAAGTGACATTTCTATAATTATAGGAACTCCAGACATCTAAAGAAACATAAATGGCCCTGATACATGTTGAAAAAAAGCTAGAAAATCTCTTTAATAAAACTATGTCCTTACCTAAATATATACAAGGAAGGTTGTTTTCTCTAGCTATTTCCTGAGCTCTGATGTGTTTTTTGACTGTAACAGGGTAGTAGGTACCCCCTTTAACAGTAGGATCATTGGTCACTATCATACACTCTACACTATAATTATAATATTCAAATAAATAAAGACCAGCTATCAACCAGAGGTTATAAAGTATATTTGCAAAAGGGCATGCCAAACTAGGGAGACCATTATGGACAGTGAGAAAATTTTGTAATTTTTTCGCTAGAGGTTCCCTAAACAATATTGATCGCTGATAATCAAAAATGCTAATATGAATAATCATAAGCATTTGCAAATCATGTTTGACTGGGGATATTGAAATTCAAGACTCACTTACCCGGAAACTCTTCCAATACCCGTAATAATACCACCGGCTGGTACTTCATCATTACCATATAGTTCATACCCGGCGAGCTGACTCAGTTCTAAAAATGGTGACCTGTAATTGAACAAGATTTTAGTAAGGCATGGATTGAATAGTCTTGTGGTATAAAACTGAACGACTTGATTGAGCTTATGACAGATACCATGCAGAGTGTATTAAGGACAAAATTTTCTAGGGGTTTACACCAACATCATCTGTTTAAATCTGTCAACTTACTCTGGGTCTAATAAGTTGTTGATTCTGTCTCTAGGAAGCATTTTACCTCTTGATACATGTCTATCTCTAGCCTTCTCTCCCCCACCTGAAATACACACAAGTCAGTCATATTAAGTGGATATCAAAACAGACCCACAAAGACACATAATAACTGCAGGAACCACAGAAATTTAATTGAAAATCAAAAAGAAGCACAAGACATTTGGATTAACATGCTTACCTTGTAGAACTTTAGAGACAGTAGACCTCAAGTCTGTTACCAGAGATTTCATACGTTCATAATTCTCCTACAATTATACCAAAACAATGACAGAGACCAAGTGGAAGAGGTTTTAGGGACCCATGACAAATCAACATGCTTTATTTCAATGTTTTTCAGTTGCTCTGAGCCTTAGGCACAAGGAATTCTACCATTTTGAATCTCTTGACCTTAGCTAAAATGAAGCCACTTAAAAGAAGAAAGAAGAAAGAAGATAGAAGAGGGGTGGGTGGGTGGGGTGGGTGGGGTGGATGGTGTAGACGGTTCATCCAAAGATTGATTGAATAGTAAAATCATATTTCCAAAAACTCAAGAAGACTCACACGTAGTAAGGTTTGCATTCTGTGACTCAAAGGACAACATGGGATTTGGAATTTGATTTGACTCATTTTGTGTTTTTTGAGCTTTATTTTATTCACTTTTGGCTTTGGGCTCACCTTGTACTCTGCAGACGAAGTGTCTTGTTCTGTGCCAATTTTTGGAGCCTTATCTACTGAGAAACGTCTACAGAGTTGAAATTTTGTGTTAATCTGTCGAAACCAACTCAAATTTCGAGCTGTCACTAACGTTTTCATCTTATTTACAATGTCTTCTGCTCTTTTGCAAAAACAAATCCTAAAGTTATCTGCCCTTGAAACTAGTCCGACATTTTGTTTTCGTACAATCTACAAAATTCAATATTTCACTCCGAAAATATATTATCTTTGGTAATTTCTGTGGAAAATGTCTTTCCAAATTATTTATTTATATATAAATGACAAATTTAAGAAAAAGAATTCTTTAAAAAAGGAAAAAAATTCTAAAATTAGCTCTCGGGTCAAAGGTTGCCTTATTTGATGTACATTTTCGACTATCCAGTTCTTACAATTTTATGAAAAATCGCTAGAGGATTTAAGACGTGATATACGAGACTTTCAAAGGTAAACTACTGAAACGTGTGTCCTTCTCTATTTCAAAATGTCCTTCATAAAATATGCTCCAGAATGTCATTTTTCATACCAAAACTTGCCTTATGGCGTATTTTCAACTGCTGCAAATGTAAGTATTAACATTTTTGAGAATCATAACGATCTGTACATTTTTGCAAGTAAAATCGCATGTGCACGATTGATGATGCAAAGTACAAGGGATCAGCCCATGAACGAAACGTCTACCATTGGCTGATATTTTAAGATGAACCAATCAAATCGATCTAAATACTCTACTTTCATTTTAATTTAATGATGGGAGGGGGGTGGGGTTATCATATTAGAGAGGGGTGAGGAAATAATCTTTTGGGCCCTTTGTTTTGATTTTGAAGATTCATAGCTGATTCTGACTTCAATTCAATGTCGAATCATATTGGTTTTGGCACCAGAAACAATCGAAGCCTTTGGCACTTGGAACCGAAGTGCCTGGCACTGGAACTCACTTCTTGTAGATAAATTCTTAACTGCTCCATAGGGGCAGATCTATGTTGATGGAAAGGGTGCAACAGTTCCACAACTAGTAAAGTAAAAAATTAAGATAACTTATAAAGTCGAATGCCTACTTGTTTTTCATTAAAAAAAATGTTTGTTCTTTGTAGGATACGAGAAGAATTGGAGTTGCTATTGGTGACCAGATCTTAGATTTATCAGTAGTAAAGCATTTATTTACGGGTCCTATCCTTGCCAAGAATCAACATGTATTTGAAAAGGTAGGAACGGTTTGTGTACTATAAAGCACATCATATTTGAGGGCTGTTTCCCTCATTGCACACTGCATTTTCATTAGCTCAGCTGACAAGCTGACAAGATAAGTCATCAAGTCCAAAGTAGTGTATATATTTTTTGTATTTCAGTCCCTACTTAATGATTTTATGGATATGGGAAGATCAGCCTGGAAGGAAGCCAGACAAACTCTCCAGAAAATTCTCTCAGAGGCTGAAGGTGTATTGCGAGATGACGCCAACCTTAGAAAGAGGTATGTAGGTTCTGTTGGTACCTATTTAGCATCTTACAGTGTCAAAGTATTACAAACTCTGTCTAATACCTTGACATTAAGAGCCTCCTGTCTTGTATCACAGAAGTTTTAAATGCAGAGACTTGATCGGATTGGATTGTATGCTAGGGACACATCTAATGGTATTTGAAGATAAAGTTTAAATTTCTTAGTACAATAGAAATGTTAAACTAGAACCTGAAACATGTAGTTACAACTGACCTATTTCTGCCTGCGTCCCTATTGAAATTCCTATATTAAATGATGTGATTTGATTTCAGTGCCTTTGTGAACCAGTCTGAAGCTACTATGCATCTTCCAGTGAGAATTGGTGACTATACAGACTTCTACTCATCTAAAAACCATGCCTTTAATGTAGGCAGCATGTTCCGAGGCCCAGAAAACGCCCTCATGCCAAACTGGTGAGTTAAAATTTTCTCCTATGTATTGAATTGGCAGATCAGCAGATAGATAATTTTTCATATTAAAAAAATGCTTTTCACACAAAGAACTTAAAACTTTTCAGGACACATATGCCAGTTGGTTACCATGGTAGATCATCTTCAGTAGTAGTATCAGGAACTCCAATCAGACGTCCTAATGGACAGACAAGACCAGATGATAGTAAGTTATCTTCTTCTCTGCCCTATGATATATTAGTAAGTTATCCCCTGGCAAAATTTCCCTCATTGCACACTGCATGATGCTGCCCGTCTTCATCAGCTCAATTAGATGCAGAAGAGCAGGACATAAAACTCCATAAATGTCCATGTTTAAGGGTTATGTTGTATTTTATTTCAGCCAAGCCTCCAGTATTTGGTCCCTGTAAACTGATGGATATTGAACTAGAGATGGCGTTTATTTGTGGCAGTCGGTCAACTCATGGTGACCCTATTCCTATTTCTAAAACTGAAGATCATATTTTCGGTATGGTACTCATGAACGACTGGAGTGGTGAGTGTGGATTTTATTTTTAGTTTCAGTGATGGAAAAATCTCTTATTGCACATAGCTTTATAGTAACCCAATGTGGTTTTATACAGTTGAGGATCCTTTCTACCAGCTGGTCCTTAACCAATCCTCTTGGCATTGATCTTATCTGTACCCATTTACAGCAGGGTTTACTGGAACTATGAGTGAATATGACTTATTCAAGCTTAATAAAGCGGGTCACATGAGCATGATTCACATTATTTATTCTATCATTTCAGCTCGCGACATCCAGAAGTGGGAATATGTTCCTTTGGGACCATTTTTAGGCAAGAATCTAGGAACTACTATATCTCCGTGGATAGTGAGCATGGAAGCTTTAGAACCATTTAAACTGCCCAATACTCTACAAGACCCTACACCTCTATCATACCTACAACACAATGACTCTTACAACTTTAATATTAATCTAGAAGTTTCTTTAAAATGTAAGTTTGGAATTTCTTTTACTATGGTGGCTCAGTGAGTTCTTTTACTAGTCATATGTCTCACTGGTCAGCTTTGGGAGCCATGGTGGCTCAGTGAATACTAGGCTTGCTAACCTGAGGGTCTAGGGTTCAATCCCAACACAGGTCGAGATGATATCTTGTCAGTGATGAAAGTTTGAGGGGATGATATTGAAAAAGCATGTAGTTGTTCAGATGGGACTAGAGGAGAACACGTGTGCCACAGGCTGTGCATGTAGATGATATAAATAGAAATCTAAAACTACTAGGTAGTATAAACATGTCTTCAGTAATATTTTTTTTTTTGGCAGGTGAAGAACTCCCCAATCCTGCCACAATCATAAAGAGTAACTTTAAGGTAAGAATCATTTCGTTTAGATTAATATGTTTGCCTTCCCGTTTATTCAGTCATATTCATTTATTTATTCATTTATTCATTCATTCATTCTGTCTATTGCAGTACCAGTATTGGACAATGAAACAACAACTTGCTCATCACACTGTAACTGGTTGTAATATTAACAGTGGCGATTTGATGGGCTCTGGAACCATTAGTGGAGAGGTAAGGGCTGTGTTTGATTTCATGGTCTTGTTTGTTATGTCTGCTGGTATGCTTTATTAGATTGATAGTATAATACCTATGCCTATATCTATGCTTTATTTTTGTGTATTTAACCTAACCATACACCTGCTTTGTATACTATTTGTACTGTTCTTCTGTACATCTCTGGTTTATGTACAATTTATACTGTACTAAAGCACACTTCTGCGTTATGTACAATTTGTACTGTACTACCTTACACCTCTGCTTGCTGTACAATTTGTACTGTACTTCCTATGTACAGTATGAACTGTACAGATTACACCTCTGCTTTATGTACAATTTGTACTGTATTACCTTACACCTCTGCTTGCTGTACAATTTTTACTGTACTTCCTGTATAGCGTAAACTTACACCTCTGCTTTATGTACAATTTGTTCTGTACTGCCTCTGCTTTTTGCACCCTTTTAACCTCGCTGGCTTCGCTCTCTTTTGTTAACCCTCAAGACATCACCTGAAGTCCTCGTGAATTCACAAGACTTGTGGAGGTATGCTAATTTGTACACTTCTTTGGTGGTGGTTGTGATGATCCTAATTGCATGTTTAATGTCTTATCTGTTTGCTATATCTTAAAATAATTTACTGTTTTTCCTGTCAGTGATGCAGGGACTGACATGGAATAAGGGTTTAGCTGTTTGTGTGGGACAATAAACAAGGGACCCTTTGTGCTTCATGCACTTAATGAGTCATACATCTACTGTTGCAACTTTGCAGTGGCATCAAAAATTTTTTCTCTGAGGTGGTTTAGCAACTATTCGCCTAGCAAAGGACATTTCAACTGGCTATGAGTGGGTGTGGGTATATGGGTGTATTTAAGGTGATAACTGAACCTTATTGGCATTGTGTTGCTATAATGTTTCTACAGATAGTTATCTCCCTTGCTTTATTCATTCAGACAGAAGATTCATTTGGTAGTATGTTAGAACTGTGTTGGGCTGGGAAGAAGACTACTGACCTGGGAAATGGGGTCACAAGGAAATTCCTTAAAGACGGAGACGAAGTAAACATTACTGGTAAGGATTACCACCTTTGTGGTTCCTGCTCACTCAATTGTAGTCCAGGAAACTCTGACCACATCTCTGTCTGACCTCCCAAGCAGCAAACCATAAAGTCAACTGCCAGAGCATGTAGAGTCAGAGCTTCCTGGGCTTGCTCTTGAATTGGATTTTTGAATTTCATTCCCAATATTGGTCAAAATAGTTCTCCATATTTAAGTATGATTGATAATTCCCAAGCATTTTCTTTTGATTAGGCTGTATTAGATGAAATATCCTTTTTTTAACTTGTAGGTTTCTGTGCTGGAGATGGATATGTGGTTGGTTTTGGAGAATGTACAGGCAAGATCCTGCCTGCTCATCAGATGTAAACCTTACTATTATTAGATTTAACTCAAGTGCATTGTTGAACATATTCAGCCATAAAACAAAGATTGAATTAAAGTTTTCAATGACTTCCCTTCCTTCCTCCTGATACCGCTATACAACTGGGCAAGTCAACTCTCTGAAGATGGAATTCATTGAAAGCTTGAAGTTCAGATCTTTGCCAGCCTTAATTTAGGAGCAGCTATCATTTTATATTGGTTGTGAGAAATGAGAAATATTTCGTTTCTTTTTTTATTATTGAATTATCTAACAAATTAGTCTGTTTTGTGCAAGTGGTTGTTTTTGTTGTTTTTGTATTAAAGAGTATTAAAGAGGTGTTCTAGCTATGGTATGTGTATCATGCTAGTTTTTTAAATGCAGCGATTTGATTGGATTATCCGCTATCAAATACAACCAATCATAGTCCTGGACAGAAAGTCTGTGAACACAAAGCCATAATGTTGTCAGACAACTTCTATCTAGGGCTCTGATTGGCTATATTCGCTAGCATACAATCCAATCAAATCACTGCATGTTTTCGATACAAGAATAGTGGCTATTGCAGTCAAGGTATCAATAGGAATTCCGTAATAGCATGACATTGTAAAGATGTGGGATCCCTGATACACATACAGAGGCTAGAAAACTTTTTCAGTTTGTTTTGTCTTCTATCTAGTCATATATAACTATGCTTGCCATACTAAGTATTATTTTAATTTTGGGTGATTTTGTCTTTTTTTTTCGGGGATTATATATATGAGATTAAACTTTCTTAAAACATAGTTGACTAATTGTGTTAATTATGAAGATATTGACAGCCGGTCATTTGAGCTGCCATGTCAGTTATGTCTGGCAAATAGAGCCCAATCAACATCCCTGGTCTCAGCACTAATATCATTGCTTGAATATAACCTATTTAATTTGAGAATCTCATCTCTATATCCTGTGATGTTTTATATGTTGGTATATAGCTTTATTTGTTAATAAATTGAATATCCATTATAGAAAACCTCTGAAAAAGCAGGGATGATTTTAACTGAGATAATGGATGGTGGAATTATGGTTGATATGATAGGCATATATTATCTTAATTTGTAACAGTATTATATTTTTGGTGACAGTTATTATTTAATAAAACATTTATTTTTAAAATTCAGGTGTTATTAGCTAAAATTG